CACTTAGTTTCTGTTGTCTCACAATCTTTGGCTTATAAAGTTACCAGTTTCTGCCTCTACCCTAAATTGAGTTTGGCCCCTCCAGCAGTAAAATTGCTAGTTTCTAATGGCCTCCACTTGGATAAAAGTGCTGTTCTTGCCGAGCTGAGTCAGTGATGGGAACAGCCCAGGCAAGAAGGCCAGAGATTCTCACTGCTCTTACCTTCAGCTCTAGCAGTTTTTCAAGGCGAAAAAAACCCCTCAGTTTGTTTTCTTCTTTTGGTCAATTTCCAGAGCCTCAAATGGTTGTTTTTACAATGTTGTGCAATTGTGTGTGCGTGCGCCTGAGTGTTGGGTGGATAAGGTTAGGCTATGGCACAGTTCCTATGGCCAGACCCTTTCTTTCTGGTTCATTGCTTTGAAAGATTGCTTTTCCAGACTGTAATAAGGCATATTAAACTGTTTAATTTCTCTGATTTAGTAAGTCTATTCAGCAAATTGTTTATCAAAGAAACAGCCCCCGAGCAAACAACACACTTAAAATTGTCAAAAGATGCTGTAGCTGCTTGTGATAAATGGTTGTTGTTAGTGGTCTTTGAGATGCCCCTTGACTCCCATGCCCCTCCTGTCCTCCAGGGTAGAATCGCTCCATCCCATTTTCTTAGCTGCACTCTTTATGGAAGTAGAGTGCAGACCTTTCTTCTGGGGAGCTATGGGGGAGGTTTGAACTGTCTACCTTTCAGTTAGCAGGTGATCACAGAGTGTTTGTCCATCCTTAGCTTCTTTAGGGATTGCTTAGAAATAACTTCAGTGCTCAGCATTTGCTAAGTAGTTAAAGCAAATTATTATAACATGATGAAATACTTCATTGAAAACATGATCTTGTTTGGACTGTCTTACACTAACCGTAACTGTTCTGGAGCAGAGGGAGTTGACACAAAGGCAATGGGCCTTTTTGGTTTGTTCGTTTTGGAAGGTTAGTGATAAGTCAGGATTAACTCTAACTCTAGGCTACCAGCGTTCCTTCATTATACCCAAGGAGGCAAATCTCCTTCACCAAGCCTATGGTTGGATTAAAATAAAAAATCATATATTGGGCCTGTTAAAATGATATCACTTAATAGAAACCATTCAAGTATATCAGAGCGGATGAGAAAGGCACAAGATAGCAAAGAGTTCAGATCTGTCATTCATAGGGTTGTTGTGAGTCACACTCTGTTCAGTGGCACCCAACAACAACAATAGCAGTGAAAACCATAGTAATATTCTCTCTCTAAAAGAAAGTAATAGAGCCATCAATTCAAGTGAATCATAAATCTTGGTATTTTGCTTTAGTACACTTTTAATAAGGAGACTTTTTGAGTCACTTTTAGGACTCAATATGAACTTTTGGGATTTAGGACTTAAAAGTTGGTATTTAAAGACAGTACTTTCTCCCAAAGGCATAGAGGCATAAAAAGATCACTATAGTTGTTGGAAGCACGTGTTGAAGGCAGATAGCATGGCCTGTAGTTGTTGAGAGGAAGACTTCTCTGGGGGCTGGGATGGTTTGTTCAAGCATTTCTGGAGCATGTACATTTCAGACATTGCTTGGGGAACATACTAAAGAAATATAAAAAGTCTCTTCTCTTACAGAGTTTACATTTCAGTAGGAGAAAACACAGTAGCAATTATGTACAATATATTGAGAAGTGATAAGTACCAGGAAAAAGAATAAAGTGGGTTAATGGGATAAAGAGAGAACAGAGTGGAGAGGAAGGTGTGCTGCTTCCAACACCTTTGTCAGAAAAATATTTGACTGAGATGTGGATATTTTGGGAACTGAACTGTATCAAGTAATGAGCCATGCATAAATGTACAGTAAGAGTTACAAGCAGAGGTGATGGCATACATAAAGGTACTAAGTGGGAGGTGACTTGGAAAACCTAAGAGCAGCAGAAGTGCAGCACTGAGGAATGAGAATGAGAAAGGAGGGAAGAGGCATATGAGTGCAGAACGGAAAGCTGGGGCCAGTGCTGTGTAGGGCCATTCATGACATTAGATTGATTGGAGGAGGTCTTTGCAGAATTCTAAGTAAGGGTAAAGTCAGACTTCAAGAAGATCACTGCCTATAGGAGGAATGAGTTATGCAGAAGTAAGAAACAGAGCAGAAACCAGTTTGGTTTGTCTTAGTTAGGATAGGCTAAATATCCCATGACTGCCAAAAGAATAAACACTTATGTCCTGGAAATGGTGAGGCTGGAGCGCTCCTTGAGGGCAAGGATGACAAAGCTTAATTTTTCATATTCTGGACATGTGACGAGGTGAGGTATTCTTTGGAAAGGGATATCATACTTGGAAAGATGGAGAGTCAGTGAAGGAAAGGAAGACTCCCAATGAGATGATTGACACTGTGACTTCAGCAATGGGCTTTAGTGTCTCAGAGATGAAGAAGATTGAACAGGATAGGGCAGAGTTCAGGGTGGCTGTTCACAGAGTCGCTACAAGTTGTACTCAACTTGACAGCACCTGAGAAGAACAGTAACAAATTGTTATAACAAATAGGCCCCAACATGTAGTGGCTCTAACATAATGGGAATTTCTTTTTAATTTGTATTAACCATCTAAGAGTGCTCTCTAGGTTGGTGGACCTCCAGGTACTGGATCAGGGACATGAGCCCTTTTATTTGATAATTTCGTTGCCCCTTAATGCTTTGTCATGTTCACAGTCATGATTCTGTTACCACATTCAGATTCCTAAACCATCAAAGACCTTGAATAGGCAAAAAGGGGTTGGATCAGAGCACAAGTAAAGGGACCCACCTCTGGTAGGAACAGAGACTGCATACATTTGGAAAAAAGAGGAGTTAGATACAGGGGACTGATGCCAAGAGCTGGTAGATTGAGTAGTGAGAGGATGAGAATGTTCTCTTTTGAAAGAGATGCAAAATTGTTATTTCAAGAGAGTAAGATAATGGACTAGCTATAATAGCACTGGCAAATGCTGACATGTGGAAGCAGATATTACATGCATGTGGATATGATAGTTTCAGACCGTGTAACCTCTACAGGGTAAGAAGGTAGTAAAAATTAGAAGGTGGGTGATGAAAAACAAAAATGTGCCAGGTTTCTTGACTGCAGGTCCTTTGGTAAACTATGAATAATTGGAGTAGGAGACAACAGAACAAATGAGATTGAGGAGGGAGCCAGGGAAAGGAAGCAATGAACTAAGAGTGGGTTGCATAACAGGATTTCAGAGGTGGTTAGGTTTCTGGGGGTAGATGTGTCAGAGACAGTGAGATTGGCTCAGGATAGGACATGGTTCAGAGCTCTTGTACATAGGGTCGCTATGAGTCACAAGCAACTTGACAACACATAACAACAAAAGCAACCTTTCTGGGGGAGTCTTTGGATAGTTCAACTTAGCTGCTAGCTAACTGGAAGGTTGACAGTTCTAATCCACCTGGAAGAAGAAAGATCTGGTTATCTGCTTCTGAATAATCTATCCTAGCCAAAACCCTATGGAGCACCATTCTACTCTTACACAGATGGAAAAGAGGGAGTTGACCTGGGGACAACTGATCGTTGTGTTTTGTTTGTTTGCTCGTTTCTTTTGGAAGGTTACTGATAATAACAAGGGATGATGATGGTTAGTAGAAAAAAGTGTTGGTGGAGAATTTCAAAGAACTGAGAGACTGGAATACTTAATGAGTTTAATGAGATTTTTATGTAGAAGTCTCCATGACCTTCCCAAGAATGATGATAGGGATGGAGAAAAACTGTGAGCCTGGGGTTGAAATATTTTAACAAGATAAGGAGAGTAGCCAGGAAGTATAGTACTATGTAATGATACTGGATGGTGCATGAAACAGTGTGAGGGCATGTGCTTACAACGGCCTAGGATGTAAAAACCGCAGTGAGCAGAAAGGATGAAAGATTTGAACTAAGTATACTTAATAAATCCTGGAAGGAGCTCTGGGGGCCTAATGATAAGAAACTTCACTGCAATCCCAAAAGCATGAGGTTCGAACCCACCAGCTGCTCTGCAGGAGGAGGATAGGCAGTCCCTGAAAACCCACTGGAGGGTCAGCTGTGTGTAGATTCTGATGTTGGCACACAACCACAACTGAATCCTACACATACCAGACTCTAGGTTCAAGATGCACATGGGCCCTGGCATCATGAAACATATAATCCAGGGATAATAGAAATATGTAAGGAAATAAACATGTAATTACACATAATGACAAATCCCATGAAGCAAGGAAATGAACCATAGGGAAAGATTAATGTGGGAGGAAATGCATTTAGATTTTGTTGTGGGAGCTAATTTTTCTGAGGATGTGATATTTGATCTGGGAGCTGTGGGATGATTAGGAATTAGATGAGGGATAATGGCAGTGGAATGAAAGATTGAGAATTTCAGGGAACTGAGATACTGGAGTACTTAATGAGTTGTTTATGTAGAAGGTATGGTGTCTTCTACATAGGCAAAGGGCTGTGCAGCCGGATCTTACACTGATTCCTTTGCAGACCCTTTCTCCTCAAGCTTCTAGACAAAGGAAGCGAGAACAGCTCCTCCCTCCCCCTCTGTCTTCCATCATCAACTTCTTAACTGTACACCTGAGGCTTGGGCTGACATTTAGAGTCAGAAGGTGGCAAAGCAGATGAAAACCAGCTTGACCCAGGAGTCTCAGTGGTCACACCCGGAAGCAGTATTTCCAGATGTCCAGTTCTCCTACTCTCTGCCCTTCTATCTGGAAAAGAGGAGATCGCTGTCTTTCTGAGTTTTCCCAGACATCTTAAGTGACCTGGTGTGCAAGTGGGTCTTAGAAGAGCTGCTGTCCACACCCTCTCCCCTCCCTTCTCACGTCATTGCTTGGAGAGAGGTCATAAACACCTCCCTTCTCCAATGGTTAGAGTGGGAGCAATATTTACGATGAGTTACAAAATTAGGGAAGACAAGTCATCGATATTTGCTCCCCAGATTAGGAGATTTGACAGCAAATTGCTAACTAAAGATTTGACTTAATTCTCCTTAGATTTCTTCCTGAATTCCAGACTCCAGGAACAAGTTGTCCACAGGAAATCAACTTTCTACACCCGAATGTGCAATCCCTGGGTCTCCCTTTTGGGGGTGAGTAACTTCATCTTTATCTTGGTTGCTGTGAGGCAGATGTGCATCCAAGTGAGGCAGATGTGGGCTGGAGTTAGGATGTAGTGCTGTTGTTCTTATGTGGTGTCGAGCTGGAACTGACTCATAGCTGGCCTTCCAGCAAGTGTTCCGGGCTTGTTTGTTGCGTGAAAAGAAATTGCCCATCTTTGTCCTGCAGATCAGCCGGTGGATCCAAACCACTTGCCATTTGAGTTGGTAGCACAGCTGCTTACTCACGAGGTCACCAGAGCTCCCTATGCAAAGTTGTTGTTGTTGTTGTTATGTGCCATCGAGTCACTTGTGACTCCTAGCGACCCTATGTACAACAGCCCTAAACTCTGCTCTGTCTTGTGCCAATCACACTGTCTCTGACACTCCCATCCCAATAACCCCAGTCGCCGAATCAATCCACCTCATAGAGGGCTTTCCCCTCCTGCGCTGTCCCTCCACCCTCCCAAGCATGATATTGCTCTTCAAGGACCCGTCTCTCCTTACAACATGTCAAAAGTATGTTAGATGGAGCCTCAGAATCCTTGCCTCCAAGGAGCAGCCTGGTTTAACCCTCTCCAGGATGAATCTGTTTGTTCTCCTAGCAGTCCATGGTACCCTCAATACTCTTATTCAGCACCACAGATCAAAGGCATCACTTTCTTTCTCTCCTCCTTAGTCATTGTCCAACTCTCTGAAGCATAGCAAATGACTGCAAAGACCGTGGCCTATATCCGACGCACCTTAGTCTCCAGAGTGACACCACTGCTCTTCAGTACCCTATGCAAAGAGTGGGGCTTAATTAGGAGCCATGTCATTTCACTTCCTAGTATATTAGAATATAGATGATATAAACTATGATGATATTATGCTTAATGAATAACTTATTCTAGTAATGATTTAATTTTTAAATTGCTTGTTATCACTGATGATCTCTGCATCACTAAATTCTTGTCAATACAAAACTAGCATGCTTCCATGCTAATTTGTTTGTTGTAGGGGGAGTGAAACAAGGAGTCAGGATATCTATGGGTAGCTGTCTACTTTCTGATAGTTTTGATTAAAGCACTGCTTTTGGAGACATCGTCTTCCTAAATAGCTGACTCAGTGAGATTGTGTGGTTTGTTTAGTTTTAATTGTGAGTTACCTTCAAAGATGCCGACTTAGACAGTGGTGGGAGGTCGATGAGAAGTACTGTCATTTCTTTGGGTCCTAACTTTGAGGTTCTGCTGATGAGGACGTGGAAGATCATTTGCGGACTTGTCCTTCCTGCTCTCTTTGCACAGGTTGTTGGGTCCTTTCTCATCATGTGTGTGATCCAGTGGGTCTATACTCTGGTTAACATGAGCATTGCTGCCATTTTGTATTTCTACATTGGCCGGACCAGCCCAGGACTTCACCTTGGTAAGCTGCAAGGTCCTTTTGCCTCCATCTACCTTGTTTTCTTTTAGCATTCACTGACAAATATGTTTTAAGTGTCTATTAAGTGCTGATACTGACTCCAACGGGAATCTCCTTTTCCTGCAGCTTATAATGTCAATAACAATTCAACTGATTGCTATCAAGTTGATTCAGAGTCATTGCTGCTCCTCCAGAGGGTTTCTGGAGGCGTGAGAGGAGATTGCCCCTCCTTCCCCAATGAAGCAACTAGTGGATTGAAACTACCAGAACAGCACTTGTTTGGACTGGCAGTGTACCTCCCTATAGACGACTCCCTATGCCACCAGACCTCCTTGCTTATCATCTTGGAGGGCATATATGACACACACACATAGTAACCGTGATACAAGGTAGTCAGAGGCATATGTGCTGCTGGGTACCGTCAAGTGGAGTATGACTCATTGCAATCCTATGAACAACAGATCTGAACCTTACCCGCCATCTTCATTATTTCTGATACATGCATTATTCTATTATGTCCATTAATATATTCAATGTGTCAATCCAACTTCCTGAGGGTCTTCCTCTTTCATTTACCCTCCACCTTTCCAAACATGTCTTTTTCCAAGGACTAACTCCTCCTTACAAAATGTTCAAAATGTGTAAGATGAAGCTTCACCATCCATGCCTCTAAGGAGGAGCCTGGTACACAGTCTCTAAGACGGACTTGTGTGTTCTCTTGGCTGTCCACGAGAGATTAAAAAAAGGGAAAGTAAAGTTTTGGAATGTCAGAGGAGTAAGAAATGGCTTTTCTCTGACAGTATCAGGGCAGACTTGGGAGGAACTTCACTTGCTGATTCATCCAGTGAATATTTGTGGAGTGCCTGTGTGTGCCAAGTACTGCTAAGGTATTGTGGTTATCGCAAAACAAAATAAAAGCCCACCTCTTATGGCACTTACCTTCAAACTGAAAGAATACTGATAAGAAAAAGAAAGAATGTATGTTGGCATTGAAGGCTGTCCTTTCGGCTACATGGAAATGGGAGATGAGAAGACATTCCAATGAGAAGGACCAGCATAGAAAGGTACTAAGTAGGAGCCTATAAATTGTAAATGACAAGAAGTAGTATGTAATTACAAGCCTAGATTCGTTAGCTGAACTACTAAAATCATAATGCAAAGTAGACTGTTGGCAGTAGCTTAATATAGATACAGGGACCCAGAAGTACACAGTGAAGTTGATGGGAAAATGTATCAAGAAGTCATGTGTGTACATAAAGTCTCTATGAGTCAGAATCAAATTGATGACAACTGTTGTATTTTTTAGCATATAATCTGCCCACATAAATAATGTGAATATGCATGTAATGCACACGGTATATATAGGAGATTACACAACTGGTTTACACAGTTGGCACCAAACATATAAGGTATGTGTTCTTTGGGGGAAAAGGCAGCAACAATACGACTACATTCTGTTGCCTTATTAATATACTTATAATAGTTGCAGTAGCTTTTTGTATGAAGTTATCTTCCAATAGAGAAATTTGTATTTCTTCTTCAAACAACATGGGGGGGGGAAAGGTCATTTGTCTAGAGGAAGACAGAGACAGCATGAATGGATAAGCATTCTATCTGAGGAAAAGGAACAGGGTGAAAACAATCTGAGATGGATGGGGCATCGGAGCTCATGATCCTTAGTACAGGAGCCAGACCACAATGAATCCGTTAATTCTTCTTTTAGTGAGTGCAAATTCGAACCTATCACATGTCAGTTTCTATGCTAAGATCTAGGCATAATAAAGACTACATTATAGTTCCTAACTTTGGTGGTCTAGGTGAAGACATATATAGAAATAAATATTATCGACCCTATCTAATACAGTGTAAAGATAATATTGAAAAAATATGCACTACTTCTAAGTAACGTAACCATATTCCAAAATAAAACAATAAAATAGAAGATACAAACATAACAAGCACTTAGCAAGGTATAAATAAATCTGTATTATCTAAAAATAACAAGGGAATCAAAAAGGAGAAAATCCATAAGGAAGAGAATAATCTATTACTTGAAGAAACGGATGTTACCCAGATGATAGAGCAGACAATAAACCACTTTGCAAAATAGTTTGGCAGTTTACTGAAAAAGTAACTGTGTATCTTCCAGATGACCCATCCATTCTACTCTCAAGAATTTACCCAAAAGAATTGACAATATATGTTATACAAAAGCATTACATGAATGTTTATAGAAGCTTAATTTGTAATGGCCAAACATTGAAAACAACCCAAATGCCCATCAGCAGGTGAATGAATAAGAAAATCATAGTATGTTCATAAAATGGAATATTGTCAACAATAGAAAAGAATGAGCTTTTTAGTACATGCAATATCAGGTGAATCTGAAAATAATTATGCTTAGTGAAAGAAACCAGACAAAAGTTATCATAGTGTATGATTTCATGTATTTATAATTCTTTAAAGTGGAAACTATAGTGATAACAGATTAGACATTGCCTGCAGATGGGGGTTGAGAGCAAGGATAAATATGAGGTCGGTCTTAAGTAGGGGCATGAGGATACTTTTAGTGGTGATGGATACGTTTAGGACAGCATAGGAGAGGAAGACCCTGGATAAGATGGATTGATTCAGCCACTGGGGCAATGAGGGTAGGTGTTTCAGAGTCAATAAGTTTGGCACGGTATAGAGCACAGTTTAGCGCTGTTGTACACAGGGTCACTATGAGTCGTAAGTGACTCGATGGCACATAACAACAACAACAACAATAACTTTAAATACATAGTTTGTTTCTTATAAATTATACCTGTTAAGCTGTTACATGCACGAATAAATCCATTGTAACAATATTCTATGATGTCCCATTTAAAATAGAGCAATCAATTTCCGTTTCAAACGAAACCAGATGGAGCATATATAATAATCCAGGCAAACTGAAAGAAAGGTTGTTCAGAATTAGAAGAGGCAGGTATATATTTGAAAGATGGGTACTTCAAACATCTTTGAGTCAGATGTTTATGAAAATCACTGTTAAAATTTTTAATGCAAAGAAGTCCAGATATAGCTAGTTTAATGAAGGGAATATATTTTCATTAATATGGTAATATTTATTCAAGGATTGATTTTTAATTTATTTTTTAAATGTGTATTTTTAAAATATCCCAGAAATCTATTCATAGGAAAGTATGAAATAAAACTTCAGGGAAACCTCCATCTAAAATTTAGAAAATTCAGGATACAAATGATTACAAATAAGCTGATTCAGTTAATAAAATGTTTTATCTTCTTCTGATAATATAAAAATGTAAAAGGAATTTCTTTGCAATTATTAAATGTTAATTATGCAAATATTAATGAAAACCTAAAATTTATCCTCCCTGTAACAGATCATTTCATCAGAACTCGACATTATCCTGAATAAACATATTGTTAGCTTTAAAACTTTAAATAATATTTGCCAATTCTAGTATAAACCTCTTAAAATTCATGCTAACTTTCTGACCATTTATTAGTCATTGCCCAATACATCAGTTTTAACCAATGATAATATAAATTTTTGGTGGAGTGAATGTATATAATTTAGAAAAGCATTTATAAAGCTACATCTGATTTAGTGTTCTAGAATTATTTCTAATTTGTTACGTGAGACTTTTTAGAAAACTCACAGTAAAGGAGGGATGACAAAAGGAACAAAGGTTTATATGTGCAGTTCCAGCAACTGTGTCTAATACTGGGATTATCAGTATCAACACAATCCCACTGCAGGCTTCAGCTCTAACATTTCTACATGCTAAACTATTGGGTCCACTGAAAATATATTGAAAAACTTAATAAATGCAGATCTTGTGGGATACTAGGCTATGAGGATGAAAGAAAACATTCCTTATCCTCAAAGAGTTTATAGTTTAATATGAGATATTATCATATATATTAAATATTTATCAGCATGAATCTAAGGAAAAATATTAACAATTTTGAAAAAAAAATTCTTAAAATTGAAGTTAGCAAGTCCTCTGGCCTTATGCTTCTTATTTATACCACTCTATCCTATTTCTTCCTAGGGATTTTAGAGTTTGGAAATAAACTTTTAGCAACTACACAGGAGGATGAAGTCCTTAGAAGGCTACTTCCAGGCAGTATTGGAATGAATATAGTTTGACTAGCCTGAAAAAGGGTTCAAAAAACTCAGTAATACTGTGTTAATTCTGTGTGTGTATCAGGAGCTGTGCCTTTATCCTGTTTGTAACTGGGATTCTAGATGCATATGAAAAGTCTTCATCAATATTTACATGTCTTTCTTCTCTGCAGGATCAGCATCCAACTTCAGCTTTTTCAAATGGATGAAGTCTCTTCTGATCCCCTCCTGCAGGTCTGTGCCAATCTGGGGCCAGTACCAGGCTCACGACTGGTCCAGGGTTCTGGGGGATGTTAGGGTCGTCCATTCCTATATGGCCATGGGCCGGAATTACAGTGTGGGAATCTGATAATTGATAACCATGAAGAGAGCTAGATGTTGCTCCTCACTGCCCTCCACAACATGCAGTTCTCTACTGCATCAGATGCCTCTTCTGGTTCATATCTGTTTCCTCTTGTCCTCAGTCATCACAAGCAAAACTTTATTCAGAATCCAGTTTCTGGGTGACAATTCAGTCTACGAGGCATTGTAGTTAGAATTCTTGCCTTCCATTCAGGAAATTCAGATTGAATTCCTAGTTCCCTGGCTGTGTGCCTCATGCACAGTTGCCACCCTCTGTCGGTGGAGGCGTTTGTTAAGCAGGTCTCGGTGGAACTTCCAAACTAAGACAGACTAGGAAGAAAGGCCTAGAAATCTACTTGCAAAAGTCAGCCAATAAAAGCATGAGGAATGACAACTCTTACTCTGTCATGGGCATAGCACCACAGCAGAAATTATTTTATTCTCTTGTTCATAGTGTGAACACGGATCTGAAGTCAACTCAATGGCATTGAACATTTTTTTTTTAAAAAGGCATACCTCTTGGTCTGTGTCCTGACCATATGTTTCACATTATCCAACTCATCAATTTTCAATCATACATAAATATAGAAAGAGAGAGAAAGAAGACAAAATGGTATAGCATGGATTCAAACAGAAAGTGGGCAGATTGAACCCCTCAGCTCCTCTGTGGGGGAAAGAAGACCAGCCTCTTCCAATAAAAATTTAAAGCCTCAGGGTTTCCTCTCCCCCCTTAAGCCAAAGAGAAAGAAAAATGGACCTACTATGGATTTCCAGAGAACGACATCAACCCTGCTTTACACCCAAAAAAAAGAGCATCAGTATAGGGGTCCTTCAAAGATCACCTTCTCTTGGGACATTATACACTTATAACAGCTTAATGCTACCAATAAAATATTCATATAATATCAAGAAAGCAACAGGCACTATCAAACATTATGGAAAAACAAAATAAGCCTTCTCTTAATAAAAACAGAGCTAATTGCAGACCCAGTGAATACCCCAGAAACAAAGAGCCAGAAGAAATATGTTGATGCAGTTATTTGAACAACTACAGATGAAGGTGCAAATGATAGAAGAAACAATGGAAATCATTAAGAAAGAGAATACTCAAGAGGCAGAGAACCAGAAGAAATATATTGATAAGGAGCAACTTGAACTACAGGAGAAAATGCAAAAGATGGAAGAATTGGAACTATAGATGAAGAGGTACAAGAACTTAAAAAATCATCACAAGACAGAGAGGGTACAGTCAACACAGTGCTAGAAATAACAAAAATATGTGAAAACACAGTCCAGAATATTAAAATTAAAATGGCAAAAATATCCCACATGCTGGAGGGACAAAAACTTAGAGAGACAAGATAGAACAAAGAGTCAGTGAGTTGGAAGCCAAGAGATCAGACATAAAGAAAATTAAGAAAACATTAGAATTGTGCAGGATAACATCAAAAGGAACAACGTACATATGATTGGAATTCCAGAACATGAGAGGGACAGGGAAAATCACTGAGAAAATTGTAGAAGAGGTGCTAGAAGAAAATTTCCCAGGTATTGTGAAGAATGGAGACATCCACATCCAAGAAGTTCAGTGAACACTAAATAGACTAGACTGAAAAGAAAAAAAGTCAAGACGTATCATAGTCAAATTCTCCAAATTAAAAGGTAAGGACAGAATACTAAAAGCAGTGCAAGAAAAACAAAGAGTCATCTACAAAGGGGAACAATTAGATTAGGTTCTGGCTACTCAGCAGAAACAATATGAGAAAGCAATGGGATAGCATAGAAAGAAAGCGGAAAGAAAATAATTGTCAGCCAAGGATCCCATACTAAGCAAAGCTGTCCATCAAATATGAAGGAGAAATCAGATCTTTTGCAGAAAAGAAGGAACTTAAGGAATTTGCGAAAACTACAAGAAATTATAAGGGCAGTACTTCCCACAAAGACACCAAATGAAAGTGGATGGAGCACAGACCAGAAACAACAGAAAAAGAAGCAAAGCAAAATGGCAATGATAAAATCTGGCTAGTCAACAATCATATTTAATGTGAATGGACTAAATGCCTAAATGCATCAGCTAAGAGAAAAAGAGTAGCAAAATAGATAAAAAAACAAAGCCCATTAATATGTTACCTACAAGAGACACATCTAAGAAATGAAGAAAAAGATTCAAAATCAAGGACTATCAGTGGTAAATTTTAATAGGACAGCAAGTAATAAATGTTGGGAGAGGATGTGGCAAGATAGGAACTCTTAAACATTGTTGATGGGATTATAAAATGGTACAACCACTCTAGAAGGCAGTTTGGCGTTTCCTCAAAAAGCTGAACATAGAAATTCCATATGACCCAACTATTCCACTGCTTGGAATATACCCCAAGAAAATTAGAACTGAGGCACAAATAGATTTGTACACCATTTTCATAGTAGTGTTATTTACCATCACAAGTACATGGAAACATTAAATGTCCAACTGCAATCTAATGGATTGAGAAATTATGGTACATTCACATGATGAAATACTATGCAGCATGCAGGAGAAATGATTTTCAAAATCACTACATAATTTGGGAGGAACTGGAGAGCATTATGCTGAGCGAATTAACACAATCTCATAAGAATAAATATAGTATAAGACCATTATTGTAGAAATAGAAGAATAATTAGCAAAATATGTGTGAGGATCCAAGAGGGGTAGAGTCGGAGCAAAGGGTGAGGATGTTAGGGCGGTAAATCACAGAGCCACACATTTTGATGTGTAAAGGGAGAAGTGGGTAAAGGAAATGGGAATGATCTGGTGTAAAAAACAGTGTATATGAATTCTGTAAGTAAACTAGTATAAAATAAAAATTTTATTTTAAAAATATCAGCAGGAGTACTCATAATGACCAGATTTTAATCTGTCTTTTAAAAAAA